TATCTGTGGTCCAAGACTATACTTGATGTTTTGAAATGTTCAGTCTGTCTGGAACTGGGAAGCTGGCATGTTTGAGGGAGGAGGGCAGTTGAAAGTACTTGCTGTTCTGCATTTTAGGATAAGATAACCTTGCTCTTCTGAAGGCATAATTAAGACTCTTGGAGAGCTAAATTATGATGAGTGATATAGAAACTATTTTGTAAGAATACTGTTGTGAAGAAATAGGACAGGAGAACTCTTTTATGCAGAACTCTTTGTAAAGTGATTCAAAAGTTTAAAAATACATAATATACTTCATTTACTTAAAAAAAATGATTTTATTGGGCCTCCCTGGTGGCACAGGGATTAAAGACAGTGCTGTAAAGCTGTCACCAGCCACTGCAATATGACTTCAATCCCCGGCCAGGGAGCGTCCCACATGGCGCAGCAGACCTCTCCGGTCTCACCTACTGTTCCCCTCAGCAATGTATTTCAGTAGATCTGCCTGTTTTGCTCCTCACTCACTCTTGTGAATCCTCTCACTCCTCCTCCCCTGCACCTCTGGCTTACACCCCAGTTCTTCTGTGCATAATAAATAAATCTTAAAAAAATGATTTTATTTATGCACACAAGAACTAAGGTGTAGGCCAGAGGTACCGGAGGTGAGAGGATTCACTGTAGACAGAGTAGGGAGCAGAACAGGCAAATCTACTGAAATATACTGCCGAGGGGAAACAGTGACAGTGGGTGAGATGGGAGAGGTCTGCTGTGCCATGTGGGTCAGCTCCCTGGTCTGGGATCAAACTCATGCCGAGTGGATAGCATTACCATGATAACTTTGAGACTTTAACCCCTGTGCCACCAGGGAGGCCGTAAGAATACATAATACGTGTGTGTGTGTGTGTGTGTGTGTATTTTTTAAAATACCAATTTTTTTTAATTGATTTATTCATGCATACAAGAACCAGGGTACAGGCCAGATGTGCGGGAGGGCGAGAGGATTCACCAGAGACAGAGCAGGGAACAGAACAGGCGGACTGACAAAATATACTGCTGAGGGGAGCAGCGGGTGAGACAGGAGAGGTCTGCTGCTCCATGTGGGATTCTCCCTGGCTAGCCGGGATCAAACCTGCGCTGCAGAGGCTGCGGACAGCTTCACAGCGCTGCGCTCAGCCACCTGCGCCACCAGGGGATGCTCTAAAAATACATAATATATTTTAATTATAGTTTATCTGCTAAGGCCATATAACTGAATGCATGTATAGATTATACTTGCTAATGGTATAACTTAGTTAAAACACTTATTTTTATATTGCTCTTTATTACTCTTTGCACAGAAAACACATTTACAAAATAAACTCACAAGGTTAAACATTGTATGAAAGGCAACCTACAGATGAGAATAACTATACGTAATGTGGACTTTGATTTTAGGGGAAATGGGAGTAAAAAGTAAAGCTTATAGACATTTTAAAATACATGGGTAGTGAAGCTTGTTCACATAAGCTTTTTTTTAGTCAGAAGAATTTTTATTTTTTTAAAATTTTATTTATGCATACAAGAACTGGGGTACAGGCCAGAGGTGTGGGGGTTGAGAGGATTCACCAGAGACAGAGTGGGGAACAGAACAGATGGATTGACTGAAATCCACTGCTCAGGGGAGCAGTGGGCGAGGCAGGAGAGGTCTGCTGAGCCATGTGGGTAACTCCCTGGCCGGGGAGCAAACTCATGCTACAGTTGTTGTGGATAGCGTCATAGGTTGCATCTTAACCCCTTGCACCACCAGGGAGGCCCAGAAGAATTTCATTATATATAACAGTTAGAAATAGTCAAAACATTCTGTGACTTATTTTTTATATTTTTTTATATCATTCTTCATTTTTGTACAGTGTATGCTTTCTCATCTCAGTTATAGTCCCCGTGAAATTCCCACCACCAGTTCACCTGTGTACCATTACCATAGTCCCTTGTGTTCTTCCCACCCCTGTTTTGATCCTACTCCCTTCTCCCTCCCAGCAGAATGTCTCTTGTTTATAGTTGCTTGTTGATTTTGATTTTCACTTTATTTTAATTAATTTTTAAAAAAAGATTTATTTATTCATTTATACAAGCACTGGGTACAGTCAGAAGCGCGGGAGGATAAGAGAATTCACCAGAGCCAGAATGGGGAACAGAACAGGCAGACTGACAAAATACACTGCTGAGGGGCGCAGTGGGCGCAGCAGGAGAGGTCTGTTGTGCCATGTGGGACCCTTGCCGGCGGCCAGGGATGGAACCTGTGCCTCAGAAGCCACGGGCAGCCTCGCAGCCCAGCACTCAACTGTTGCGCCACCAGGGGAGGCCCTAATTAATTTTTTTTTTTTTCTCTTCATGTTGCTGCGGCATTCTGTGACTTTAAGGTAGTAAGTAGTATGTGGGCCTCCCTGGTGGCATAAGGAGTTAAGTCTCAGCACTGTGAAGCTATCAGCAGCCACTGCAGCAGGAGTTAGATCCCAGGCCAAGGAGCTGACTGACCCACATGGTACTGCCAACCTCTTCTGTCTGGCCCGCTGCTCCCTTAGCAGTGTATTTCAGTCAATCCACTTACTCTGCTCCCCACTCTCTCTCTGGTGAATCCTCTCATCCCCCAACCCCCGCACCTCTGGCCTATACTTCAGCTCCTGTTTGCATAAATTAATAAATCTTTTTAAAAGAAGAAAAAGATAGTAGGATATAAAAATGAAGTACTATAGTTTTTAATGCTATCTCATTAACTGCTCTCTGTGCAGCTAAGCATACTAAGCTTTCCCATTGTCATTTGTTCATAATAATTCCTTTGACAGGGGTGTATAGAATAGTCTAGGTAGTGGCTTCCATTTTGAGCAGTGAGGAAGTTGAGGCCCTCAGGAAAACTCCCAAATTTAAGAGTCTTGTCTAAGCTGCTAAGAGCTAGTTTAACCAGAGCAGCAGAGGTCTCAGGACTTGGCTACCCGTGTTCTTTCCATTTGTTATAAAAGCAGTGCTGGTATTTTTTTAGGTTTGGTTTTACACTTTGCTTCTACCTTAAGTTATAAGATGCCAGGCAGCTTGTAATTTTTAGCTATTTTTAGTATCTTATGGTTTAGTGAGTTGCACTTTTTAAAAAAAAATTATGCATACAAGAATTGGGGTACAGGCTAGAGGTGCGGGGGTCTGTGTGTGTGAGAGAGGATTCACTAGAGACAGGATGGGGAGCACAACAGGCAGACTGACTTAAATACACTGCCGAGGAGAGCAGCAGGCCAGACAGGAGAGGTCTGCTGCACCATGTGGTCACTTCCCTGGCTGGTTAGGGAATCGAACTCATGATACAGAGGCTGCGGATAGCTTCACGGTCCTGTGCTTATCCCCTTATGCCACCAGGGAGACCCTGTGATTCACACTTCCAAGATTAAATCTAAGAATATAAACAGGTAGGGCCTCCCTTGCGGTACAGGGGTTATATTTCTGCACTGTCAAGTTATCATCAATCCACTGTGGCAGGAGTTTGATCCCCAGACAGGGAGCTAACCCACATGGAGCAGCAGGCCTCTCCTGTCTGGTCTGCTGCTCCCCTCAGCAGTGTATTTCAGTATATCTGTTCTGCTCCCCACTGTCTCTGGTGAACCCTCTCACCCTCTGTACCTCTAGCCTGCACCCCAGTTCTTGTATGCATAAATAATATAAATAAATCTTAAAAAAAGAAACAGGTATATCTGTAAATTGGATGATTTCTAAAGGTAAGCAGATAACAAATCTTAACATATTAAATTAGGTTTAAACCCATTGGACATTTAAAAATTACACAGTAACTTTATGGTAAAGCATTTCCTTTGTCTGTATTTGATATTTTGTTAATTGAAGGTTGTAAATGACTTTGCTTAAATGTGGGTATACCCTTTTTTATTTTAAAGATTTATTTCTGCATGCAAGAACTGGGGTGCAGGCCAGAAGTGTGGGGAGAGGGGTGAGAGGATTCACCAGAGACAGTGGGGAGCAGAACAGGCAGATCTGTAAATCTGCTGAAATACATTGCTGAGGGGAGCAGCGGGCCAGACAGGAGAGGTCTGCTGCACCATGTGGGTCAGCTCCCTGGCCAGGGATGGAATTCATGCTGCAGTGGCTGGTAATAGTGGTAATAGCTTGACGGTGCTGACTTAACTCCTTGCGCCACGAGAGAGGCCCAAATGTGGGTATACCTTTTTAAAGTAATTTTTTTGTTTTATATAAGTATTTTACCAGTGTTTTGTTTTGTTTTGTTTTACCAGTAAGTGCTGGAAGAATTAATCATACCACCAATTTGAATCATATTTCTGTCTCAGAAAGGTTAAATGTTTCTAATGATGGAAGACTGCAGAAGTGAATTCTTCAAGAACATGTGAATAAGCAGTTTAAGATTTACTTTTGATTAATATGCATGAGTAGCTATTGTAGCTACCTAACATCAGAGTCACTGCTAAAAATAAAAAAATACTGAAATTATGTGGTATTTAGAAATACAAGAAAGGATTAGAGGAAAGAAATAATAGCTAATGAAATCTGAACCAGGGACAGCTTTCTAGATAGAACTGGTATGCGCAGCCTATGGGCAGCCCTAGCCCAGAAAAATAAATATTGCCAGAATGTTTTCATTTGTTGTGTTACAGTGTTTAGGTTCTAAATAAGTTTTAATTTAAGCATTTTTATTTGAGAAACCCATAACATTTCTGTTTCTGAACATTCTCATTTTGAATTGATGGAGTTGCTCTAAATACTGCTGAAATCTCTTATGTTTAGGATAACAATATTAGGGCACTGGGGTGCCTAGGGAGAGGTCATGCTAGAAGATCTGAGAGCTGTATATACTGAATGGTGGAAAGGAAAATTTTCAGATGTGTAAACAGTAATTTCTGCACACTTTAAAATTAGTGCTATTATTTCAAGATTGATTCTATACTTCTGGCCAATTATTCCTAATTTTTGTTAACTTTTACATGGATGTCACTCATGTTTTTATCCTTCGACTTCTTTTTTCATTTTTATAGAAAAAGTGGAGAATTTTAGTGAAGAACATGAAAAGAACAGTCACCATATTTACAAAAATGCCGAAGACAGTACCAAGAAACCCAGTGCAACAACTACAGTGACTTCTGGACACAAAACTGATGAAATCAAAGAAACAAATGATACTTGGAACTCCCAACTTGGAAAAAGATCAGAATCTCCATCAGAAATATCCCCAGTTAAGGGATCTATAAGAACTGGTATATATGAATGGGATAATGATTTTGAAGATATCAGATCAGAAGGTTGTATTTTAAGTTTGGATAATGATCCTCTTTTGGAGATGAAGGATGAGGATTTTAAAAATCGGTTGGAAAATCTAAATGAAGCCATTGAGGAAGACATCATGCAAAGTGTTCTTAGGCCAAGCAACTGTAGGACGTACTGTAGGGCTAATAAAGCAAAACCCTCACAAGGAGCATCAAATTTTGATAAGCTAATGGACGGCACCAGTCAGGCCTTAGCCAAAGCAAACAGTGAATCAAGTAAAGATGGCCTGAATCAGGCAAAGAAAGGCAGTGTAAGTTGTGGGACCAGTTTTAGAGGGACGGTTGGACGGACTAGAGATTACACTGTTTTGCATCCATCTTGCTTGTCAGTTTGTAATGTTACCATACAGGATACTATGGAACGCAGCATGGATGAATTTACTGCATCAACTCCTGCAGATTTAGGAGAAGCTGGACGTCTGAGAAAAAAGGCAGATATTGCAACTTCTAAGACCACTACTAGATTTCGACCTAGTAATACTAAATCCAAAAAGGATGTTAAACTTGAATTTTTTGGTTTTGAAGATCATGATGAGACAGGAGGTGATGAAGGAGGTTCTGGGAGTTCTAATTACAAAATTAAGTATTTTGGCTTTGATGATCTCAGTGAAAGTGAAGATGATGATGATGATGATTGTCAAGTGGAGAGAAAGACAAACAAAAAACGAACTAAAACAGCCCCATCACCCTCCCTGCAGCCTCCTCCAGAAAGCAATGATAATTCCCAGGACATTCAGTCTAATACTAATAATGCAGGTAAGACTTTAATTTTTTTAACTTTAAATAATTGTTTTTCTGGCTTAAATCAACAGAGACTTAGATTTCAGCTTGTTCTGTTTAATTTTAATAGATGTATACCTATTCAGAGTCACAAATTATCAAAGATACAATTTTTAAAATGTTAATCAAGTTCTACCCTAATAAGGAACCATTGTGTAGACTGAGGAGTCTTCATATATGGATTTTCTGGTGTGTGTGTGTGTATCAAACATACTGAGTTTTTTTTTTTTTTTTGGTGTAGAAGAACTGAGGTGTAGGCCAGAGGTGGGGGAGGTAACAGGATTCACCAGAGACAGAGTGGGTTGCAGAACAGGCAAATTTACTGAAATACGCTGCTAACGGGAGCAGTGGGTGAGACAGAAAAGGTCTTCTGCACCATATGTAGAATAGCTCCCTGGCCAGGGATTGAATTTATGGGATCAATCTGGGGCTGTAGTGGTGATAGCGCTAAGACTTAACCCATAGACCACCAGGGAAGCCCAAACATACCGAGGTTTTAGCTTTGAAAATCTAAATGCAGTGGAGACATAGGATAGATTTTTAGATGATTAGAACTGATGGTTGTAATGAGGGCTATATTAGGAAATTAAAATTAGTAAAAATTCTTTGACTTTTTTTCAGTGAATGAACTGCTAAATGTTAAAAAGCATCTCAAGAAGTCTTCAGTTTAAAGTTGAGATTAAATCTCGATCTTATGAATCATTCTCTTTAATTGATTAATAGCATTGGAAAGTGCTGGTTAAGTCTTTATTCACTCTTAATAGTGAAAGGATAGTAGGACCAGTAATGGTCCTGAAGGAGTTGACTGTCTTCTCTGTGAGAGACGAAAGATATAGCTTAGATTTGCTATAATTAAGTCATACCTGAGGACGGCTATATGAATGAGGAAGAATATGTGAAATCCTCTGGGGCCATAGGAGCTTTAGTTATTTATCCTTAGTCCAAAGTAGAGTATTTTTGTATGGGTTTACTTGTTAAATAAAGTTTTTGTCCTCTCAGGATCACAGGAGTGTCATAGCAAATTAGAATTATAGTAGTGTTCTTACACGCACAGTCTTAAATGTAAGTCATACTTGAGACTACATAGCATTTTGCTTTATTTGGCATAAAAATAGTTTCGCAAGATTAGAATTATTCTTACCTTCAAAACTAGAATTATACAAGGTTAGCCCTTAGCAACTTAACCTTTATTCCCTATTGCAAAAACTAAATTAGAAGGACGATATTTTCAGAATTCACTAATGCTGTCTTGACTCTCTTCTGGAATACTGGAATTTGTAGTAGTTTTGCTAGCAACTTCAGACCTGCCTGACAATTTTAAGGCTGCTTTCTCAGGAGGAGGATAAGTAACCAGGAATGAAACCTGTGCTCCTATTCTACTTAGCTCTTATGCTAATCTTGATAACAAGTTATCCTGGTCTACATTGAAAAATCTGTGGCTAAAATTTTTATATTGGGGTAAAGTGATCTTTTAAACTTTAAAATGTGAAATCATTAGCTTCTTTTCAAAAGCTTCAATTTGGTGCCAAATAAATTTAAAAATTAGAGTATTTGATATCCAGAGTAGAAATTTGAGTCTTAATATATATGAAGCAGCAAACATTTTTAAGGTTTGGGATTGAGAAAATTTCTCTATTTTTGTTTAGAGTAAAAAAATGTAGCCATTTGATAATTAGTCCTTTGGTTTGTGTGAAGACTCATATAAGTCATTAAATACATTGCACTGGGTCATTTTATATCTTTTGCCAAAAGTAGCGTTTGTTGTTGTTTTTTAAATTGTGTTTGTAGATGAATGCTCAGGCTTTCTTTGAAGGTCAGTATTAATCATTGTATTTAAATTCTAGAAAATTGTTACAGGTCGATGTTAAAGGGGGGTGTGTGTGTTTGTACACACCAACCCATATTGCATACTAAAAATCTAGCAGTAATGTGAACTTTGAAGAATAAATTATTTTGGAAAAGAATTGATTTTGCCATTTACACAAAAACTAGAACACATACACAGCAATAAAGTTTCTGATTTTTTTTCTTGGTTGGGGAAGACAGCCAGAGGTAAAGAATGGTAAAATGAGACTTAAAATTGTTGGGAGTATTTTGGCAACTACTGGTCCTTTATTTTCTCCTCACAATATGCCTGTTCCACAACTATATTCTTAGGTTGTCTGGTAGATAATTTGAAAAGCTAGCTAGTTTTGATTACCATTTCAGAAAACTTGGATTTTACAGAGGACTTGCCTGGTGTGCCTGAAAGTGTGAAGAAGCCCACAAATAAACAAGGAGATAAATCAAAGGAAAATACCAGAAAGATTTTTAGTGGCCCCAAACGGGTAAGTACATCACAATTAATGATTTGTTCTATTTCTTATCAGAGGGCTCAACTCTTTTTTTTTTTTTTAAAAAGATTTATATTTTGTTTACTTATGTATATAAGAACTGAGGTGTAGGCCAGAACTGTGGGGTGGGGGTGAGAATTCACCAGAGACAGAGTGGGGAGCAGAACAGGCAGCTCTACTGAAAATACACTGCTGAGGGGAGCAGCAGGTAAGACAGGAGAGGAGAGGTCTGCTGTACCACGTGGGTTAGTTCCCTGGCCAGGGATGGAACTCACGATGTAGTAGCTGGTAATAGCTTGGCAGCACTGGGACTTTAACCCTTGTGCCACCAAGGAGGCCCCTATAAAAATGCTTTAAATTGCCAGTTGAAATGCTTTTTCACTTGAATACTTTCAAATTTGTTAAGGAAAATTGATCGACTGAGGAAGATGTGCTTTTTTGATGCCTCTGATAGTCATGAACTCTTGTTGAAAGTGAAAACTCCCTTCCACACAAGCAGAGGTTGTTAAAATACATATCTTCTCACAATCTTTAATCATCATAGTATGCAAATTATGTATCCTCCCAAAACACATTGTGCCACCAGGGAGGACCAGAGGGCTCAACTCAATTTCTCTTCTAAAAGTTACAAACATCATGACAATTACAATTTGTCTTTCAAAGATAAGTGTAAGTTTTAAATATTGAAACCATTTTTTAATTGTAAAATGTACATTATGTTTGTGATATGCAAAAGTACAATTTAGTGACATAAAATACATTCTTTTTTTTTTTTTTTTTTAAATTATTTATGCATACAAGAGCTGGGGTGTAGGCCAGAGGTGCGGGGGTGCGAGAGGATTCACCAGAGACAGAATGGGGAGCAGAACAGGTGGACTGACTGAAATATACTGCTGAGGGGAGCAGAGGGTGAGACAGGAGAGGTCTACTGCCCCATGTGGGTTAGCTCCCTGCCTGGGGATGGAATTGGAGCTGCAGTGGCTGCTGTTTGCTTCGTAGTGCTGAGACTTAACCCCTTGTGCCACTGGGGAGTTCCCCATAAAATATATTATTAATGTTGTGTATCCATCACTGTTATCTATACCTCCAGTTTTTTTTTTGTTATCTTTGACACAAACTCTACCCATTAAATCATTACTCCCCCTGTCTCCCTCAACCCCTACTATATGCTATTCTACTTTCTGTCTCTATGAATTTGCCTATTCTAAGTATGTCATATAAGTGGAATGATACCTTATTTGTCTCTCTCTGGCTTATTTCATTAAGTATAATGTTGTAAAGGTCCATCCATATTCTAGCATATAAAAGCATTTCATTCTTTTTTTCTAGACAAATAATATTACATGGTTATATACACACAACATTTTGTTTATGCATTTGTTGGTAGACACTTGGATTATTTCCATGTTTTGGGTATTGTGAATAATGCCATGAATGTTTGTATACAAATAGTTGTATGAGTCCCTGAGTTTAGTTATTTTTGGATAAACACACAGCCTTTCATAGAACTGCTTTCAAACACCTAAAGAATGAGTATCCATTTTTTTTTTTTAAATGGCTTCATCTTTTCATTCTTTTATTTCTTGGGAATCTGTTCAAAGTACTATACTATACTTCTGCACCCCCAGGTGCCTTCTCCCGCTTAAATCTGATTGCAAGAGACCTAACTTGCTCTAGAGTGAGAGTAGTGTGGTGCAATGATAATAGTTATTAAATGCTTAGGTGAGGTTTTGGCTTGTATAAAATCGTGTATTACATGTGTAGACTTCCAGAACAATAGGTACCTTTTTTTGGTCTTAGGACCCCTTTCCGGTGAATTTCCTAAAAGCTTTTTATGATATGTGTTTCACCTATCAATATTTATCAAATTAGAAGTGAAAACATGTTTCAAAGGTACTTATAATATTCACTTAAAACAATAATCCATTAAATGTAAATAAAATGTTTAGGAAAATTCTTTTCCTAAACATAAAGAAGTAGTGAGAATAACACTGTTTTACATTTTTTGAAAATATCTTTAAATTTTGACATAATAAAAGAGAGGTGGATTCTCCTATCTCTTGTGTGCAATTATTTTTTTTGTAAAGATTTATTTATTTATTTATACAAGCACTGGGTACAGTCAGAAGCATGGGAGGGTGAGAGAATTCACCAGAGCCAGAGCGGGGAAAAGAACAGGCAGACCGATGAAATACACTGCTGAGGGGAGGAGTGGGCGCGGCAGGAGAGGTCTGCATGCCATATGGGACGCTCGCCGGTGGCTGGGGATCGAACCGGTGCTGCAGAGGCTGCGGGCAGCTTCACAACCCAGCGCTCAACTGCTGCACCACCAAGGAATTTTTGTGTAGTTTATCCCCCAAATCTCCTGAGACAAAAGAAAGACTAGGGGCTAGGTACGTGGGCGTAGGAAATGTTCTCAGCAGTTGTTTCATTTGTCCATCATAATAGAAACATGCTCATATAGTTGATAAGTCGCTGAGAGTGTCTGGGTCTCTGAGAATAGTTCTCTAATCTGACAAGATTTAAGTCCCCTGTGACCTGGTTTCACAGTGGCAAATTATTCAAGATAGCCCATTTCTTTTAGTGGCAAGTTTTCCTTCTCCTACCTATGAGAGTTTCATAGCCTCAATGCTGTTGATGGATTGAATAAATTTTTTTTAAAGATTTATTTATTTTTATACAAGAGCTGGGGTATAGGCCAGAGGCGGGAGGGTCAGAGGATTCACCAGAGACAGAGGTGGGGAGAAGAACAGGCAGATGACCAAAATACTCTGCTGAGGGGAGTGGCGGGCATGACAGGAGAGGTCTGCCGTGCCATGTGGGAATCTCCCTGGCCAGCTGGGAATCGAACCCATGCTGCAGAGGCTGGGGACAGCTTCACAGCGCTGCGCTCAACCTGCTGTGCCACCGGGGAGGCCCCGGATTGAATACATTTTTGTTGTGGAGGGTCTACTGTTCCTTAGAGGATATTTAGCTGTATCTGACCTCTACCTACCAGATGCTAGTAGTACCAGCCTCCCCAGTTATAATTAAAAATGCCTTTTAGACATTACCAAATGTTCCATGGGGGTCAAAATAGGTCCCCTTCGCATTGGGGTGTGTGTGTGTGTGTGCACACACCACACTACTGTGACCACGCTACTATGAGCTACACTGAGTACAGCTGTTCATCAAAACCAGGAGGCCAGTAACATTGATATAATAATACAGCCTAATCCTAGGTACCATTCATATTTTACTAACTTTTTAGTAATGGCCTAATACAAACAAAACATATAAACCATACTCCCACATCTCCCAGAATGCCCATGATTCAGTCCAGAATTAAATGTTGTGTTTAGTTGTCATCAGTCTCTCTCGTTCATCAGTCTAGAGCAACATCCATGTCTTTCTCTATCTTAACCATGATTGGTATTTTTAAAGAGTTAAGATCATTTGTTTTCTAAAATGTCCCTCAATTTGTGTTTAATGTTTCTTCACGATTAGATTTAGGTTATATGTATTAAGTGGCAATACCACAGAAGAGGTGCTATGTTCTCACTACTTTGTACCACTTGTACCATTACTGTTTATTTAACTGATTACTTAGTGTCCGTTAAATTTCTCGACTTTCATCAAACTTTCACCCGCCAGTTTTAGCTTTTTTTTTTTTATTTTTTATTTTTTTGCTCGAGTCAGTTTTTATTATGATAATTGCTGGGTGTTTTTACTAATGTAATTCTTTGTACATTTATTAATAGTTGGCTTTCTACTTTAAGGTAGGACCACTTTAAGGTAGATCTTTTCCTCCCCTCCATGTGTATTTATTATTATTTTTAAAATATTTAGTTATTGGGCCTGCCCTGGTGGCGCAGTGGTTGAGCGCTGGGCTGCGAGGCTGCCTGCAGCCTCTGCAGCACCAGTTCATTCCCTGGCCACCGGTGAGGGTCCCACAAAAAAAAAAAGATTTGGTTGTTTATGCATACAAGAACTGGGGTATAAGCCAGAGGTGTGGGGGATGAGAGGATTCACCAGAGAGAGTAGGAAGCAGAACAGGCACATCTACTGAAATGCACTGCTGAAGGGAGCAGTGAGCGAGGCAGGAGAGGTCTGCTGCACCATGTGGGTCAGCTCCCTGCGGCAGTGACTAGTGAGAGCTTGATAGCTGATAGTTTGATTGCGCTGTCTTTAACCCCTGTACCACCAGGGAGTCCCCTGTACTTATTATTTTATTTATGTCAGTATGAATATTGACTACTGTTTTATTCAGTCATTTGTTAGCTTTATTTTTTAAAATATTTTGTTGATTCATTTTTGCATGGAAGAACTAAGGTGTAGGAAAGAAGTGTTTGGAGTGAGAGGACTCACCAGAGACAGAGTGGGTAGCAGAGCAGGCGGATTTACTGAAATACACTGCTCAGGGAATAAACAGAAGAGACAGGGAGAGGTCTGCTTTGCTGTATGTGGGTTAGCTCCCTGGCAACCTAAGTGGGCCATCGAGGTGATAGCGCTAAACTTAAACCCTAGGGCACCAGGGAGGCGCACATTATTTATTTTGATGATAGTACTATCATTATTTTGAAGCACAGATTTTCTTAAATCTGTAGATGTTTCTTCCCCTTCACCTAACAGTTTGCATTTTCTTTTTTAATGATATAAGATAAACATCAAAGTTTATCATATTCATATGCAGACCTGAAATCAGCAATTTCTCTAATAATCTTAGTTTTGTTTTAGGGGAGAATGATTTTTAGAAATAAAGATCTGGCCACATGTAAATGTATGCATATACTGTTCTCTCTCACGATACATACCTATATCGAATCTGTGCATATTCAGAACCGTGTGTTCACCCTGATACCTCCAATTCTAATTCAAACCCAAATTTTATTCTAGCCTCCTCACTTCCCATATTTTACTTTGCTGACAGTTAGAAGTCTGTTTCCCATTATTCTCAGTATATTTACATATTTGCTCAAGCTTAATGTACATAACCAGTTTCCTGACCCCCACAG